CACCCCGCCCGGTCCCCCCCGGAACCCGCGGCGCCCGCGATGGTCCCGCCCGGGCAGCCCTGAGCCCTGCGCGGGTGCGGGCGCTGCCTCCTCCCCGCCCCTCGCCCCAGGGAGCCGACACCAACTTCTGCTGTTGAACTCCGCTCTGCCCCTTCTTTTGGCCCAGGGCGACCTCGGCAGCCCTGACCGCAGCAGACAGTCCCGAGTACCCAGAAAGGCCCCTGGGTGGCCCGGCGCCTCCCCGGCTCTTTCTGGATGGAGACGCCTCAGGACGGAGCTGGCTGAACGCTTTGGCCTTCGCCTTCCAGCCCCTGCTGACCACACCTGCCCTAGTGCAGAGGCTGCGTGAGAAGCAGGAAATGCTGTACCAGGTGAGGCCCGGTGGGTAGGAGAGCTGGGCGAAGCCGGGGACGCTTCTTTTAAGAGGTTTTGGACTGGGTTGTGAAACGCTAGAGGGACTTGGAGGCATCCTGTTAGGAGGAGAGGGAAGACTGGGTGTGGGGACACCTCTGCAGGGGCCAGGGTGGATGCAGGAGAGAGGCGGGGACCCTCCAGAGCTCAGGAGCACCTGGGCACAGGGCCAGGCTGGCAGCTGGCTGGTCCCATGGGTGGTAGTGCTCTGGAAACCTGCCTTCCTGGGAAGCTGAGGTGGCACCTGGACACACATGGCCTGGAGCCCACGGCCTCCTGGTGGCCTGGGAAGGCTGGGCAACCCCTGGAGCTGTCCCAGAGGGAAGAAACCAGGGACGGTAACAGACTTAGTCCTTTGAAGGGGGCAGGGGAATGTTCGATGGACAAGTTGCTCTTTTTTTCTGCAGACTTCCCCAAATGTCCCTTCTGGGACTCCACCTCTCCATCTTAGTGAGGGTCTGATTCCCAGAGTCGTCTCTCAGTGAGGAGCAGCTGCACTGGCCCAGGTGTGGGGCTGAATGTGGGACCCTGCAAAAGTCAGGAGAGGAAGGCCTGCCCCTGCGCAGGGGAGTGGGCCCTGGCAGCTGAGCCCCGGGGCACCCTCTGTTCTCCCTTTCCCTCCTGTGGACTGCACTGTTCTTTCCAGCAGGGGTGGAGCTGCCTGCTCTGGGGTGGGGGGCCCCGAGGCAGAGGTGGAGGGCTCTCTGGCATCCAGTGCCTCTGAGCTGGGGGCTCCTGCCCATCTGAACTCCTTCCTTCCTTCCTCTCAGCACAGCCAGCTCCCGGGGATCTTGGTCTGACCACCAGGATGGAGCTGGGGCCCGCGACCGAGACCTTCGTGCTGGAGCTTCGGTGTCTTGAAGATGGGGGCCCAGCTCCTGATACCCTCTCAGGTGAGGGGCTGGGGAGCCTCTGACCTCCTAGACCAGGAGATAGTCCCTAGGCCCCCCACGAGGATCCTTCAACAGAGCCCCAGGCCTGCCGGGGCCGAGAGAGGGGCCCTGAGAAGGGGGCCGGCAGCTTGCTGTCTGGAAGGGCGCCCACCTGGTGGTTTCGAGGCAAGGGCAGGCTGCACGGCTCACCACAGCCGACTTCAGCTGCCTGGAGTAACGCGCTCTGTCAGGCTGTGGTCTTGCTGCTGAGGGGCTCCCTGGCAGGGCAGACAGTCTCAGCCCATGCCCCAGACCCCAGATGTGTGCTGGCTGGGACCTGCTGCTGTTTCCCCAGCCGTCAGGCGGCCTCCATTGTCCTCCCATCTGCCCCCGGCTCCAGACTCATGTTCCCGGATTGAATTCAGAGGCTGAGGGGCTCTCTCCTTCTGCTCCTTGTCCCTTAGGCATTAGCCCTTGGCTTCTCTTTTCCCTGTGGCCTCTGATTTGTCCACTTTTCCTTGACCTCCGCTTCCATCCATCTTTCTCCCCCTTTGCCCAGAGGCAAATGTGGCCCTGTAGAACCTTCAAAACCCCCTCTCCTTCTGGGACCTGCTCTGGGCAAAGCTTCTACAGTGGCCAGGCTCATGGGAGCCGATTTCCTGCTCTGTGCTTTGGGGTGCAGAGTGAGGAGCCGGGACAGGGTTAAACAGAGCATGAAAAGGACCAAGGGAATGGATGGGAGGGTCAGTCAGGTGGGACAGAGCAGACGGAACAAGGATTCTTCTGGCTTGTAAACTTAACTGACAGAAATCTTGTGAGAGTACACACATCAGATGGTACTTAACTATACATTTACTAAAACATCATTGTTAAAAATACTGCCAGAGGAAGTCAGGAGTGGCCATACAGCCAAGCACTGCTAGAAATGAGAGGACTCACACAGAGGCGTGATGCGTCCCCCTGAAGTGGTGGGAGATGGGGGTGTCTCTGAGACCTGGGACTTGCTGGAGGACAGGTTTTCATGGCTGTCTTCACCCACCACCTGCATACTCCCAACTGGGGTGAGTGTATATGAAGAAATGCATTCACTGATCCATTAGCCTAAGCAAAGGTTATTAGGAATAGTTTTCTAAAAGGAAATTATTTACATGTAGATATCCCTTGGTTTTATTAAGTCAATATATTCCTGGAAAAGTGGCCAGAAAGCAAAATTTTATAAATCAAACCACTGCTTTCCATTACAAAATTGAAAATATGAGGCTGCAGGAAGAACAGATGTTGACATCAGACTGGGGAATGGAGAAAGCCTCTTCGGATCCCAGATGTAAAGAGGACTTAGGATGTTCTGATAACACAGTAGTAATGCTTAGAATGAGAGACTGCAGGTGGATGTTGTGCAGAAAGTGAGATGTAGCAACAGAGTGACTCCTGTTTAGCAGGACTTACTCCACGCCTGGCACAACCCTGGGGCTGTACGTTTATGCCCTCTCATCCTCACAACATCCCTGAAGAGGATTTATCTCCTTTTGCAGATGGGGAAACTCGGGTTCCCAGAGGTTAAGTAATTGGCCAGTCGCCATGTTGACTTGGGGCTGTGAGTTAGTCCTTTCCATTCCAGAATAACAATCTAAAACATTTCCAGTCTTCAGGCTGTTTCAAATGGAGCTAGTTGTATCTTTGGTATTTCTAAACTGTTTGTTAGTTTACAAACTAATTCCTAGCCCACAGGGAGAGGGATTTTTCAAGCACCTCCCAGGTTCTAGGGGATACGCCAGTGCCCTTCCTGTTTCACTCATTAAGCTGGAAGTGTGGGTATCATTAGGCTATTTTATAGGCAAGGAGGGCTCTGAGCCTGCAGCAGGTTGGACAGCTGCTAACTGGTAGAGTTAGGGTCTGAACTGAGGACTTCCTGCTGGAAACCTTACGTTCTCTCTGACACTTTGATGACTTTCAGAAACCGCTTGTGGAAACACTTCTAGGCAGCTTTAGAGAAATTCTTTATTATTTACAGAGAAGACAAGTTTCATTTATTTAAGGCGTGACCCTAACTGAGGTCAGAATTCAGCATGGACCTGTGGCTTGGCTGATGGAGTGGCTGGTTCACTGATTCCCACTGGATGGCGGTTCAGTACAAGGGAGCTCCCAGGGAATGGTGTTGCAGAGCCCCCGGCACCCATGCTGGTGTCACTGCCAGGATCTAAACAAGGAGCTTGTGTGATAGAAGGCCCAGAGGAGAGGTTGGGGAGCTGGGGTCTAGAGTGACATCACCAGCAGTCCCTTGGGCACATTTCTAAGCCAACTCCCCACCTCTGGGCATTTTAGTTTCTGCCATGCTGCCATTGTCACTTGGTCCAGTGCTTCTGGGTCCCTGATGAGAGCTCAGTAGGGTATCCTAGAGTGGCTGTACATGGGGCAGGGGAGGGGGGAGGTCCTGGGGTCTGGACCAGAGAGCTGCCTGTAGATCTTTCTCTCTTGGCTTCCTGCTATTTCCACTACAGGTGGCAGTGGTGGGAGTGAGAGTCAGGAGGAAGAAGAGGCTCAGGAGAGGAGCAGCAGCCCACCACGGCCAGCAGTCTCAGCCCCAGTGGGGGCCAGTGAAATTGCCGAGAAAGCCCAGCCAGAACAGCAGGAGGTGCAGCTGCAGCAGGTAGAACAGCAGCCAGAGCTGCAACAACAGCCACAGAAGGAGCGGCTGCAGCAGCAGCAACCACAAAACCAGCTGTTAGGACATCAGCCAGAATTGCAGCAGCAGCAAGATGGGCAAGAACAGCTGCCTCAACAACAGCAGGAGCTACAGGAAAAACGCCCATCTGTGCAACAAGAGCAACTGGAACCACAACTACAGCCAATGCAGCAGCAGGAACAGTTACAGCAGCAGCAGCAGCAGCAGCAAGATGGGCCACAGCAGCTGCCTCAACAACAGCAGGAACTACAGGAGAAACCCCAACCCATGCAGCATCAGCAACCAAAACCACAACTGCAGCTGATGCAACAGCAGGAACAGTTACAAGAGCAGCAAGTGCAAGAGCAACAATTGTTGCAACAACAGCAGGAACAAACACAGGAGCAGCAAGTGCAAGCACAGCAGCTGTTACAGCAACAGCAGGAACAGTTACAACCACAGCAGCAGTTGCAACAGCAGAAACTGTTACAGCCGGAACAGTTACAGCAGCAGCAGCAACAGGAACAGTTACAACCACAGCAGGAACAGTTACAGCAGCTGCAGCAGCAGGAACAGTTACAGAAGCAGCAACTGCAACAGCAGTTGCAGCAAGAACAATTACAGCAGCAGCTACAGCAGGAACAGTTACAGCAGCAGCTGGTGCAGCAGCAACAGTTACAGCAACAGCAGCTGGTGCAGCAGCAGCAAGAACAGCTGCAGCACCAGCAGCTGCAGCCCCGCCCACTGGAGCCAGAAGAGGAGGAAGAGGTGGAGCTGGAGCTCATGCCAGTGGACCTGGCGTCGGAGCAGGAACTGGAGCAGCAGCGGCAGCAGGAGCTGGAGAGACAACAGGAACAGCGGCAGCTGCAGCTCAAACTGCAGGAGCAGCTGCAGCAGCTGGAGCAGCAGCTGGAGCAGCAGCAGCAGCTGGAGCAGCAGCAGGAGGTGCAGCTGGAGCTGACCCCGGTGGAGCTGGGGGCCCCGCAGCAGGGGGTGCAGCTGGAGCTGACCTCCGTGCAGCCCGAGCTGCAACTGGAGCTGGTGCCCGCCGCAGCGGACGGCGGGGCGTCGGTCCCGGGGGCTCCCGCCGCCGTCGTGGTGGCTCCCCCGGGCTACGTGGTACTGCAGGAGCTCATGGTGCTGCCGGCCGTGGCGGCGCCCGCGGTGGTGGCCATCCCGGGCCCAGCGGGCAGCGCGGCCCTGACGCCGGCCCGGCAGCGGCGGCGGCGGCGCGCGCGGGACCGGCCGACCATCTGCGGGGAGTGCGGGAAGGGCTTCAGCCGCAGCACGGACCTGGTGCGGCACCAGGCCACGCACACGGGCGAGCGGCCCCACCGCTGCGGCGAGTGCGGCAAGGGCTTCTCGCAGCACTCGAACCTGGTGACGCACCAGCGCATCCACACGGGCGAGAAGCCCTACGCCTGCTCCTACTGCGCCAAGCGCTTCAGCGAGAGCTCGGCGCTCGTGCAGCACCAGCGCACGCACACCGGCGAGCGGCCCTACGCCTGCGGTGACTGCGGCAAGCGCTTCAGCGTCTCCTCCAACCTGCTGCGCCACCGGCGCACGCACTCGGGGGAGCGGCCCTACGTGTGCGAGGACTGCGGCGAGCGCTTCCGCCACAAGGTGCAGATCCGCCGCCACGAGCGCCAGCTGCACGGC